CCTGGGAAATAGGTTATTTATCATTAATTCCTCCCATATGTCAGGCAGAGGAGTCAGACCTTAGATGATGGTCAGACCAGGACTATCATGGCATCTGCGTAAAACTGGGTCATGCTTGGCATTAATTCCTCTTACATATTGGGAAGGGGAGTTTTTGGCCTTAAATGATCACAAGAGGATTTTCATTTTCTGCAGGCTGTGGAGAGTGCTGGTCAATAAGACGCAGCTCATGTCATGAGGTATTTCATTAATGTCAGGGGGCCAAGATGTAGTTGTTGTTGTTGTTTGTTTTGTTTTGTTTTATCAAAATCCAAGCCATTGTTCTTGGACATCAGATTTCCTAACTCCCTGCCTAAAAGTGCAGGGTATTTTCTACTCACCCTCCCCTCCACACACACACCCCCCTGTAGTGCAGGAATAAAACAAAGGATCATTTCTGAGAGTCAGGTGCATGACTGGAAGTGAGGATTTCTTGCTTCTCCTCCAGAAACAAATGGCTCTTATCCCAGGTCAGAGCAAGCCCTGTTCAGAGTATAGGGATGTCTCTTGCTTCTCCCCCAGCAACAGTCAGCTGTGGGTTTGTATCAGAGGAGGGCCAAGGGTATCCACATGTTTTATGCCTATCCCCAATAGTTGTCCATCCCCATCTTGTTGTACAGAGTCCCAAACATGGATGAGCCTGCACACCCAGGAGGTTCTCTAAGGTCCCCTACCCTACTCTCGTCTTTCTCATGAACCAAAAACTGTTAAGGAAAGGCAGCTTTGCTGTGGGCACCCAGAGGGACTAAGCTGTGATGCTGTCCCATAATCAGGCTTTGAAATGTGTAGTTTTCTTCTTGCCCATGTTTATGGCATCACTTAATCTTCCTGTGCTCTACCAAGGGAAAAAGTTTGTTTGCCCTATCTCCTCTCAGAGAGGCCTTTTACTCTTTGGAATTGTCAGGTGAATGACTCTGTCTCTGAATCTCAAAAAACAGGTTGTGTGACTTTTTCCCACATATGGTAGGGACAGCATTCTCTTTCAGCTTTCTTCATCTTAAACAAGAGTAGACCTCCTGTTTCACTTGTTAAGAAACTTCCAAACAAATTAATGTGGCCTGCAAAGCCCTGTGTAATCGTACCTGCCTGCCTCTTCAGCTGAATCCTTTCTCACTCCAAGAGCAAGGATCTTCTCTAAATTCCTCAAATGTGCCAAGCTCTTCCCTGTATAGAGATCTCACAGATGTGTTCTCTCTACTTAGAATGTTCTTCCCCATGTCTGTACCTGGACAGCTCCAGCTCCTCCAGAAACCCTTGCTTGCCACTCAACCCCTATACATAAATTACCTCCTGATTCTTTTTCACAGCCATCCAATGTCCCATTATTTGGATATAATGTATTTAATCAATTAGCAGTCTTGTACATAAAGCATACCCATAGGGTAAGTTCCGAAAAGAAATATTGCTGTTAGAGCTGTACATGGAGACAGTTCAGCTCAGTAGTTAAAATTCTGACTTCTGCTATGTGCCAGGTGTGTAAACTTGAGCAAGTTATTTAAGCTTCCTATACCGTAGTTTCCTCCTTCCTGAACTGGGGATAATAACAGGACCTCGCACAGATTCCTTGTGATGGTTTTGTCATTTAGTAAACATATAGAACCATGTCTAAAACATAGCCAGTCAGTATATGTCAGCTTACATAATTATTAACATTTAAATTTTTCTAGATAAATATTGTCATTTCTCTTCATAAGCATGTTTTATAATTTTAGCTTAGTATCAATTGAAAATGACTATCTCTTCACACCCTCAACACCATGTCTTATCAAAGTATTTAATCTTTGCTAATCTGATAAATGAACATGGTTTCTCATAATAGTTTAATTTCTGTTTCTGTTACACAGAGTGAATTAAGAATATTATCACAATTAAGTCATTTGCGTTTCTGTGTGCTGAATGTTCCACATTTTGCCTATTTTGTTATTTGTTCTTGATCATTTTCTTATTGATTTGTAAGAGTTCCTTATACATTATGGAATTTAGCCTTTGTGCTATGAATTATTCTTTCGTAATACTTATTTTAATGATGCTTTATTTAGATATTTAAAGCTCTGTAAAAGCAAGATACATATCTATTTGCTTAGCATTACATGGCTCACCAAAGCAAAGTGGTGAGCATATAATAAATGATAAATGTTAAATTAATGAATACATGGGCCACACACAGTGAAGAGACTTTTTGGTTCATAAATAGCCTGAGAAATTGGAAAAGAAATCATTTTGTATCGAACATGACAGTGTGATTCTGGATATGTTGGGCTGTAGATGGCAGCCAGAATTCTGAGCTCAACAGAGTTAAGACTTCCACTTTTGCTAAATGTTCATGAAGAGTTTAGTCATCACCATGAAGTTTTTGATTAGAAACAGATGACTTCTAGTGAAAAGAATGTTATATGAGGAGTCACAGACAGACACTTCCAATCAGAAAAAAATTCAGGTGGTTCCAGTTCTCATAACAGTTTTTTTATATATAAAAAGTAAAAATAGAAGCATTATATAGTTGCAAGTACATCAAGATTTTGTGACTGTAGAAATACTTCTATATTTGGAATAGTAATGATTACTGAAAAATATTTATATGTTACAATTATTTCCAAACCATTTATTGTGATAAAATTAAAAGTATTACTAATATAATCATAATTATATAATCTTGTAGAAGTCATAAGTGCTCTTTTTGTATGAATTAAGCTATTTGTGTTTTTCAATTTATGATTAGACAATGAAGGTGTTTTCTATTACTGAACTATCACTAAGAGATTAATTACTATCAGTGTAGTTTCCAAGTCTGTTTACAGATTATGTCAACTGTATGAAAAATAAGAAACTATTCAATCTTCTAAGAAGAAACACTTATTTTATTACTTATGAATTAGTACCTTTGTAGGTCTGTTGTGAAGTTAGAATTCTTATTTAACAATAGTAAGGAAAGGACTGCATATGATGGTGCACATCTGTAATCTCAGCTACTCAGGATGCTAAGATGGAAGAATCTCTATTTGAGACCAGCCCAGCCAAGGAAAGTTAGTGAGATTCTATCTCAAAAAACAACCTGGGTATGGTGACAGAAGCCTATAATTCAGCTACATGGGAAGCACAAGAGGTGGATATAGGAGTGTCTGGGTCTGAGGCCAGTCCCCAGCAAGAATGAAGACGCTATCTGAAAAACAACTAAAGTATAAAGGACTGGGGGCATGATTCAAGTGGTAGAGAATTTACCTAAGACCTTAAATTCAAATCCCAGTACCGCCAAAAAAAAAAAAAGGAAGGCAGGAATTCTATTCGGTGGCCCAGGGGTATGGTATTCTCATGTCAATCTCAATTTTAAAAAGATCTATGGATTAAAAGAGACTATCATTAAGGTATATACTTTTCTTCCCTTTCAGAGTAACTTTCCATTAACTTTTAGTCTTCTTTGCCTTTTTAATCAGAAATCCTGGTGTTCCTGAGCATTTTGTCATGAAAACAAGGTTCTTAACAACTGTCATTATATTCTTCCTGGCCAGTGTAGAGTCTTATCAAGGATAAATGAAGTGTTCTATAAAAAAAGAAGTGTGAAGACAGAAAATAAGTCTACTGTAGCTTATGCTGCAGCAGTGTCTGCTGTGCCTGACATGTGCTGGCAGTGGACACTAGAGGACATACATAGAGTGTCACTTCAGGGGCTTTTAAGAAGCCAGCCATTTATTTATGTCAATTTCTCAAAAGTGCTTATTTTTTACTAAGAACAGGAACATATATAAATTAAGAAAGAAAAGAAATTCCAAGGTGGCCTGTATTAATATATGATGGAAATAGTTGTGGAATTTTTGCTCATGGTCTTATTCAGGAATAAATATAAAATTAAGCTTTTTGATTGTTTATCTTAATTACAAAACTAATATCCTTAAAGTTGCTTCTCAAAGAATTTTCTCTAAAAATTGAATGATAATGGAGTGAAGGTTTTATTTCATTTAGATAAATTATTCCTATACTTTTCTGCTCCTTGCTGATACCTGGGGAAATGAAAGTCAAGGATTTGTCATTAAAACTCTCGGTTACTTTCCCAAAAACTTGACTACCTGAGCAGTGGAATCTAGCATATCTTATACCCATTAAAAGAGCCATGATAAATCAGTGTCAAAGAGCTGATCCAAAAAGTCAATTAATATCCTTAGCAGTATTTAGGGGTGGTATGAAGTGGTGTAAATCATTATGTTCTAGAGAAATCAAAATTTGGATGTAAAATAATGTGACTGCCTCAACATGGTGCTGTCTTCATGTGATGAGGGCAAAAATGTACTCATTTATAAACTATGACCACACATTGCTGGCTTACTTCATTCCATATCTCTTTTTAGCTAACTATTCTCAATCCCATAACAGAAATGGAAGCTAAGTTTAGCAAATTGTTTGGCCATTTATGTTTAGTGCACAAAATTCTTAATTAACAAAGTAAAATGGCACAATTCATTGTAAATCACTTTGCTAAACTTTCAAACTTAATAAGGAATTTTGTCTTGTCCAAAGCTACTTTCAAACCCCTGCTGATCTGGCACTCATGTATGATTCCCTGTGGAGTGAAAGAATGTAAAGGGAACCAATTAAAGAAACTTTGAACCAGAATAGACAAGCAGAGGCCATCTTGCCCATCCTTCTGCCTGCAGGCAAAAACTATCTGCTAAAACACAAATTTTTGCTTGAATCCTGCTGACAAAAATGCTCACCACATGTAAATGACAAGTTATAATCAAGTTATTGCAACTAAAGCAGATTGTTAACTGTTCAAGACTTATTTATTGTGTTGTAAAGATGCTGAGTATCAAAACTCATCTGAATTGTCTTAATTCTCCCTTTCTAGAAAATTATTTTGTACAAGAAATGTACTCCAATAACTGTCAGGATGGGGGAGGTTTGTGTCCAGGAAATAAAGTTATCTTCATCATCTTATTAAATGTATTTTTGGTTTCCTTTCACTCTAGGCTTACCTTATGGGTGGGAGGAAGCTTACACAGCAGATGGAATCAAGTACTTCATCAAGTAAGTGCAAACATCTCAACCAAGTAAGCAATTTTCCTCACATCTGGAGAGAACCTGGAAGTTGCAGAATAATCAGCAAAACCAAGAAGCCCTCTTGGAGGTTACAAAAATTAGAAACAAGAAGTGAAGCCTCACCAATTTCATTTCATGTGATTTAATTGCTAATATCAGATGTCACTTGGGAGTAGGAGGGGTAGGAAAATCCTACTAACAATTTCAGTGGAAATATCAAAAAATTAGAATGGGATCATTATTTGGATTTAAATGTTGGCTACCTGACTTCACTAATAGTAGAATGTAGCACCTAATAGTAGAAAGGTTTATGAAAAGCAAATATCTAGTGAAAAACTCCACTTTGTACATCTTAAAACACCATAACAATAATACTAATAATATGCACCATTTTAGGGCTTTACAATGTACACAGATAATTCATTCTGTAAATACCCTGGGGCATTTGCTGTTTGGCAGGCAATGGTCCATACCCTTGACATACAGTGATGAAATAGACAGACTGGTTCCCTGATATCATGGAATTTATACCACTGTCAGGAGAGACAGACAGTAAATAACTTAAAAGACAAGTCAGACAGTTTATGAACAAATCTTACCTCAGTGGAGTTACAAAAATCCTTTGAGGTGTGTGCACCTTATAATTTTCCTTACTTTATAGATGAAGAAAATAAGAGCCTTGAGTCGATGCCAAAAAACCCACAGCTACTGCATTGCCATTCCAGCACTAAAATCAAAATCTTCTGATCCAAGATTTTTTCTACTGTCATTCATAGAGACCTGGAAGGCCTGAACAGGAATACATTTTATATCTGTTGGACTACTTAGTTTTGCCCTGGACAGAGCAGTTTAGTATACTTCCATGTTCTTAATAACTCTTCATGTCAGAATTGGTGTTATGAGTGCACAAAGGGGAAACCCATAATTGCCTGAGATCCTAAAAGACTTCCTTTTACATCCTTTTAGCAAATTATGCTGGGTATGTGTTTTGGGAGAAAAAGGAAGACATGTCCTTGCTGTCCTTTAAATGTGCACATATTTTACAAAGCAACGTCCAGATTTTGGATTCTCAATCCCTGTGACTTTACAAAGGTTCCTATTTCTTTTAGACTCAGTTTTCTCACATAAAATAAGGGAATACTACCAACTTTATAGAGTTGTTGAATGCTAAGCAGCTAGCATACAACTCTGAACATAGTAGATGTCCAATAAGTAGTCATTATTTTACAATGTGGTTAGAAAAATGATCATGGTGAAAAAAAGCCAAAAAAAATTTACCACTATTAAAAAGAATGCAAACTCAAAAGCATCATATTTGAAAAGATTTAAGGAAAAACTAAGGATAAACCTAGCAAAGTGTTTTCATGGTGTGTTTTTTCTTGTAGTCTCTAGTGATTAATAAAGCAGGGGTGTCATTGATAATACATGAAGAAGGAACTTTTGGAGCAGGGGACCCAGGAATTCCATATATAGATCACATTTAGCAACCTACTGTTCACTTTCAAAATCATACATCTTCTGGGATGAAATGTGTTCTCTGATGTGGTAGGTTAATCATGTTTAGTTCCTAGAGGATTTAAATTGCTGTACTGTAGGGATATCAGGAAAATGAGAAATCACTTTCAAATTTGCATTGGGCACTAGTGGATACTCAAAAGCTAGGAATACACTAGGTATGTTTTTTCTAGACATTTTATCATTTAAGCCACTTAAGATGGAAGGTAGATGCCACATGACTCTTATTGATGGTATTATTACGGTGGTGATCTGTACCTTGCCCTCAGCCATGCCCTTCTTCTAGAAGGCCCCCATAGAAATTCATGATCAACGGAAGGAAAACTAGCATTCATGATTAATGGCTTCTTCATTCAAAGTCCTTTGGAAAATGTCAGTAAATGAGTCTTTATCTTGTAGGGAACTCCTTTACCTAAACTCAGTCTTCTGTCAGTATTCCAACCCAAAGCTGAATGTCAGAGCCTAACTAGTGCTTTACGAGGAAAGGATAATAAGGGCACAGTTACCCACAACAATGAAAATAAAGAAAGCAAGAAAAAGCCAGCACCAGAGTCAGTTTGTCTTACTGCCTAATACCCAGCTTAGTAATTCACTGGCTCTTACACACTGGAACAACAGCCTGGAGCTGAATTTGGAAGGGAGAGGAGCATCCAAGGAGAGGAGCCAGAAAACTCTTAGACTTCCCTGAAATCTAATCCATAGCTCCTGTGAAAGGAATAGGAAAAAGAACAGGAAAAGATGTTTGTCCAGTGTCCTTTACTCCACTCGGAAAGCATACCTTAAAGGGTGTGTTCTAGAAGTCCACCAATTCTCTTCCTTGATTTTGATCTTGGTGCAGAAAGAAAGCAGAAAAAGAGATAAGATAAATTTGTTTTCCTACGGGCAATGGTGGGTATCATTGTCTCACCATTACAGTTCAAGAGACTACAAAAGGCTAAATTCGTCAAGGTCATGCATAGTAAAATTGCAGAGCCAACATACAGATCCAGGGTTGTCTGGCTCCAAAGCCACCCACACACATGTACTCAGGCTGCACCACTCCCACTCCTTATTTTAAGGTCGTCTGTTGACATGTGACAAAAAAGACATTTTAAACAGATCTTGATTTAGGTAGAACTTTGTACTTTATCCAATTTAAAATAGCAGGATAGAAACTTAGTTCTAAGAATAAGTAATGATCTTCTGGAGATTGGAAAGGTCAAAGAGTAAAAGTAAGAAAATCTAACAATATACCAGTACACCCTTCACCTTCCTTATGAAGGAACAGGGTGATTGTCATGAGTTAGTTTTCTTGTTGTAGTTATATTTGCTTACAGAAAGGCCATCTGATAGAAAGGAAAGAACATAGACTTTGAACTTCAAAAGAACCTGGATGCAAGTGCTTGTGTCTCCACAGCACGGCTGAAAAACCTTAAGCATGTTTCTTGACATCTCTGAGCTTTAATTTCCACATTTATATAATAGAAAGTATATTAGTACTTTCTACCAAGTATATTAGTACTTGGTAGGGCTCTGGCCCAGAATGAATGAGCTGATGTATGTAAAGACCTATCATGGCACCATGCTCAAAGTGGACACTTTCAGCAAAGGTTGGCCCTCTTCACTTCCTCCCCTCACTCTAACATTTTGGTGGAGCTCTTAGCCACATTCAGTTAGGTGATGTTGCCAGATAAGTAATCTCTATAAGCAAACATCTACTATATGTCTTTCTTAGAAATATTTAGTTTTTTTATTAGCATAAAGTAATTGTACGAAGGGGTTTCATTGTGATATTTCTATAGGCAATGGGTATACTGTGCTTTCAACAAATTCATCTCTTCTATTACACCTAACCCTCCTTCCCCCACTTTTCAAACAGTATTTAGTAGGTAAAGAAGTAGGTAAAGATAATGCTATCTTCATATGTGTGTATGTGTATGTGTGTAAAATATACTTCAATCCTATCTAATGTATATGTATGTATATATTATATATAAAATGTACTTCAGTCATGTTCAGCCCAAAACACCTTTTCCATTCTCCCTCCCCCACCCATTGGTTCCCACTGCCAGAGAGTCCCCCTTTTATGCTCATGTCCCATCATCATTGTCATCATCATCATCATCATTCTAGGTCTCAATTCCATAGATGAGTAAAAATGTAGTATTTGGCTTTTTGAGCTTGGCCTATCTCACTCAACATTATGGTCACCAGTTCCAGCCATTTTCCTAAAAACAACATTATTTCATTCTTTATGGCTGAATAATACTCCTATTGTATGTATAGATACCACAATTTTTTATCTTTTCATCAGTTATTAGACACCTAGGCTGATTCCATAGCTTGTGCTGCAGTAAATATGAGTGTGCTGGTGTCTCTATTGTAAGTTGACTTAACATTCTTTCAGATATATGCCCAAAAATGGAATAGCAGGGTCATAAAGTAGTTCTATTTTTAGTTTTTTGAGGAATATCCACATTGATTTCCATAATGGTTTCACTAATTTACATTCTCACCAACAATATATGAAGTTTCTTCCTTTCCCTGCCTCCCCTTGCTGCATCCTCTTGCATCCCCATCTGCATTTGTTTATTTGTTGTCTTGATGATTGAGATTCTGACTTGGGTGAGATGGCATCTCAGTGTTGTTTTGATTTGCATTTCCTTTATGGCTAAGGATTGTTAAAGATGTACTTGTTAGCCATTTTTATTTCTTCTGAGTACTGTCTGTTTGGTCATTGGCTCATTTATTAGTTGAATTATTAGTTCTTTTGGTGTTTTTTTTTTTTTTGAGCTGTTTGTATATTGTGAATATTCATCCTTTATCCATGAGTAGCTTGCAAAGATTTTCTCCTTATGTAAGTTGTCTTTTCATTCTAGTAATTATTTCCTTTGATGTGTAGAAGCTTTTTAATATCATGCAATCCCATTAGTGAATTTTTGCTTTTATTTCCTGAGCTGTCTAAGTCCTGTTTGGAAAATAATTGCCTATATCTATCATTAAGTGTTTTCCCGTAGTAAAAAAAGTTTTGAGATCCTTTTTTGAGTAAAATAATTAAGATCTTCAATCTATTTTGGATTATTTTTATGAGGATAAGATAAAGGATCTAGTTTCAGTCTTCTACATGTGGATATCCAGTTTTTCCAGCCCCATTTGTTGAAGAAGCTTTTCTCCAATATACATTTTAGTCTCCTTTATCAAAAGCCAGATGGTGGTGGGTGTGTGGACTTATTTCTGGATCTTCAATTCTGTTCCTTTACTCTGTGTCTGTTTTTGTGCCAGTACCATGCTGCTTTTGTTACAATAGCTCTGTAGCATAATTTGAAGTCTGGTATTTTGATATCCCCACCATTGTTCTTTTTGTTCAGAAGTTGGGTTTTTTTTGTTTTTTGTTTTTTTTTTTGGCTATTTGGAGTCTTTTATGTTTCCATATGTATTTTAAGATTGACTCTTATTTCTGTGAAGAATGACATTGGAATTTTGGTAGGAATTGC